TTCCCAGCCGTGGGCGACCCGCTGGTGGGGCTGCATGGCTTGTCCTTCATGCTGGCGGCAGCGCCCGTGATGGAGAAGGCACTGTTAGGTGCTGGGATGAGCAAGTCTCTCGGGTGATCGGGCTGCAGCAGTCGACGGCCTCCTTCACTGGGCAGCGAACTGGGGAGCGTGGCTGGGTTCAACATGTGGTGGGAAAGGCTCCCTCCACTGAGCAGGTTGCCGTAAAGAGGGTACATCCTTGGGAAGAGGCTGAAGTTGTTGATGCCGTTGATATTGTTCAAAGCGCTCAGGTTATTGCAGCTCATATTGAACGGAGGTAACACGAATTTAGGGTAGTGGGGGTGGTAGGACGGCAGAAAGGCGGATGGGAGATGGCTAGGGGGTGCGTATCCAGGATAAGACCCCAATCCTTCTGAGCTGTATGAGCCATTCAAGTAGGAGTATGACTCTCTGTGCTCTTGAGAGGGAGGTGCCAGAGGTGAAACCGTGACCCCTGGACTGCTATGAGGGCTTGAACTTTTTAAACTTTGGTCTGGGCTGCTCCTCCCAGAAGGACTTGGTGTAGTAGACGATTGGATGGGTGAGTGAGTAATGTAGCTGGGCCTGTCCATCCCATAAGCTAAGGAAGCTTTCAGATAGTCTTCAGGAATGTGAGGTCGGATTGGATAGACAACTCGAGGGAAGAAACACCTCTCAGGGCTATAGTTCTTGCGCAAATCATCCAAGTCTTTTTCTGGAGTAACTGGTGAAATGTTGGTCTGGAAGAAGTCTTTTCCTTTTGGAGGGTTGGATTCCATTTTCAGGATTTCTTTCACACTGTGCTCTTTCTTTGGAATGCTTTTCTGACAGAGCTCATCTTTATCAGCACTGTGCTGCTTTGGATTAGCATGGGTTTGTGCTGAAACACAAAGACAAGGTAATGATTATTCAGATAAGCCACCACAATTATCTCCTTTCAAAACACAGTCTAACTCCTAGGAGTTTACTGGGAAGCAAGCGCCAGTCTTGGAGGCGAATGACGACTTAACTCACCAAAAACCATAACCTCTGTGCAAAAAAAAAAAAAACGCCTACTCATATGAAGTGTTAATCAAAAGCATTGCTAATTTAAGTGTCATCGGCCAGTATACGCAGATCTGGATGATGATGCATTTGCAGAGCGGTAGTCTCCACTTTGCAAACTGATTTCACCTTTTCCTTTCCCTTAAACTTGAGTAGATTCATACTGGTTATCTGTGAGCTGTGTATCTAATAAATGAAGTAACAAGCATTTGTTCGCAATGCAAGTTGAAGAGAAAGCTTGTGCAGAGCGAAGCTCCCAGAAATGTTCCTCACTAGAATAACGAGGCATGACAAATCAGCTTTTGCCAAACCACAGCAGTCACTTCACCAGCCAGTTCAATTACTTACAGTACCAAAAAAACCATGGCTGGCTCGGATGAAAGCCTTCTTCAAAGAGAAGGTACTCTCCATCAGTAAACAGATCATTACTCATTAAATATACTGCTTGGGAACATCTACAACAAAGCAGACTATTTACTGCAGATTTCTGTGGCATTCAGTCTATGCAAAACTCCTCTTCTTACAGCTGTACTTTATAAAAAAAAAACTGCTGAAGTAAAGCAAAAGAAAGCAAGTCTAGTCGGCCCCAGCTTAAGTTGAAATGTATTAAAAAAAAAAGAAAAAGAAGAAAAATGCATTTAGAAACAAATACAAGCTAGCATCCATTTAGCTCGGTTCCATATATAACACTGTTTATTTGTATTCAAGGACTCTACCTTGTTATCTGGACATAATGTAATATACACACTACACTGTAAGATGTATATGATAGAAAAAGGAATCTGCTTTTATCTAATCTCCCAAAGTTAACAGTTATATAATCTTGGAATGATTACTGGTGAGATATCTTATTATAGGGGAAAAAATTACATAAAGATTTTGTATTTGTGGTTAGTTCTGCGCAAGGTTTTCCATCAGGAGGTACAGCCAAGACTGATAGGTATGTGACTCAAAAGTATCGCAGTTTTTATCCAAATTTCTACTTTGTGAGTGGCTGCTCTTACTTCACCGAGTGGGGTGAGAAACAGTTGTTTCTAATTTTTGGAGGACCAGCTAAACCCAGCAGGGAAGACGGAAACGGCCACTTTCATCACAGATTCCTTGCTTCGCTATTCACTGCCCTCACGGAATCTATCGTTTGGCAACATTACCCTATAAGGCAAAGAAACTGCCATTTATTAAATGTATCCAAGAAAGCAGCTGCTTTCAAAGCATGCTCCTACTCACAGCAACTTGCTTGTACAGTAGCATCTTTTTTTCCAGCAGCGTTAGACTAGTAGCAAGCAAATTTAGTGATGTGGGCAGTTTGCATATTTTGAAATTGCCATGAAGTGTAATTGAACACAGATTTCTCCAAGTAAAATATTTACCATTAAATATATAGTGTAATATATACAAGCACATACCCACATAGGTGTGTACATAGCTTCCCAAATGCTTTTTTTAGATACTGGAGTGAAATTCAGAGTTGCTTCAAAGACAAATTAACCATAGATCACGTTATCTGGCATTAGAAATCCTCCACTTTCATTTGTAATTTTGTCGGTCCTCACACTCTAATGGCTAATTCACTACTCCCCGATCTCAGGGCAGGGAGCATCCAGGTCCTGCTAGCTGTAAGTTGCCCAAGCGTGCAAAGGGAAATATTATCTTCGCCTCCTTATCGGCCGCCTGTCACCGCGCCAGCGTCCCCGAGCAAACATTCCCGGGACACTATCAGCAGCCAGGCCGGCCGGGAGGTATCGAAAGCCGGGCAGGGGGGCAGCGGGGGCCAAAAGGGACCCGAGAAGCCCCAGAACAGAAAAAATAAATAAATACCACCTTATCCGGCCCCTATCAGTTTCTCAGCGGGGTCTGTCAAGCAGGAAGTTCAAATTGACACTTTTCTCTCTTTTTTTTTTTTTCTCCCTTTTTAAAACACAAATAAACGGCTCTGGGGGAAGGGAAGAGGAAGAAGAAGTGCCAAGGCTGCTGGAAAAGCGATACAGAAACTGTGTGGGGAGGAGGGCCGGCTTTCACCGTGACAAGGTTGGACACCGAGGGTGGGGAAGCTACGTGCCCTGCGTGCAGCGACGGCAAGGAAGCTCGCGCCGAGAACGCGACTTTCCGTGCGCGACATCCCCCCGGGCAGCCCGGCAGCCGTGGCTGCTGCTTCCTTTCAGCAAGCTTCCCGCCTGTTCACTCCCATGCGTGGATAGAAATCGTAATACTTAAAAGTATTTTCCTTTTTTTTTTTTTAATGTCTAACTGGGACACATCTCTTCAGTTTGCATGCTAGCTTTGCCACATAAATCCCCACTTGAGTTTTCCCCCTATTACCTGAACACTGGGGAGCACCAGATAGGTCTAAATACCTAAACAAAGGTGAAAACGCTGCATAAAAAAATAAGAAAAGGTAACATTGGGGGCCAAGGCGAGATTCTTACGTTTTCTTATGTTTTATCCTGAATGTGGATTTAAACCAGGGCTGGACCTGACTGAGAGGTTTATGACCCTTTTTTTGCTCTTAAAGGAGCCACACTTCAAAAAAAAAAAAAAAGATAATTCTTCTAAACGGACTTTTTAATTTGTGCTTTTAGTTTTCAGTTCTTATTGGTCACTTCATGTCTGTCTCTCTAAATATGTTCCCCTCTCTCATTCTATGTACATGTGTATACACACAGAATACATACAGACACACACTTTTCCAAGATCTGTCTAGTTTCTGTGGTCAAAGTCACACAAAAAAGGAGACTCATGGCAAAACATGAACAGTGTAACAGCATTTGTATGGCACTGATCTGAGAAAGAGTCAGAAAATCAGCTATGTCTTTTTAGGAGCCTGATCTGCTTCTCCCTGAGGAGAAAGAAAGAAAAAGGAAAGAAAAAAAAAAAGGGACAAAACTCTTCTGACTTGTTAGGATGAGCAAAACCTGCATGGAAAGGGTGTCTCAAGTCACTCTAACTTAAATATAGAGGTTGCAGGCACAAACTGCTGCAGAGCTGCGGGTTTTGCTCTCATTCTGATGCTTCTAGCTGCAGCCTGAGAAAGGCTTCACAAAAACATTTTTTTTTCTAAAAGCTTGAAAAACGGTTGTAGGCAGGCAGTAATTTCAACAGTAATTTCAAGAGTGAAATGGTACTGAACATTCTGAATTGTGAAGCTTAATTATGCCGATTCACATTTTCGGTCTAAATTGACAGGCTGCTTTGCTAGTAGAAAGAGAACCTAGAAGTTGTGAAGCAGGCAAAACAAAGCGTGTTTCCACTCAAAATGAGAATGGAGACCAACATTTAGCAGTATGTAGTTTGATCATCTGTTTTCTAAATGTGTCCAAGGCAGTGTGACATGACTTTGAAAACATTTTGCTCAGAGAAGGGCTTCAAAGGATCCTTCAAATAATCCTCAATACTAAGTCGAATTCAGCCCCAAATTCTGATTTTATGAAAACAATCTTTCATATAATCTAAAAATCATTTTCCTGTGCCCTTTTGAAGGTTCCAGGAGGCTTTTCTTTCTTTTTTTCTTTTTTCTTCCTTTTTTTTTCTTTTTTAACAAATGCAGATGTTTCCTCTTAACCCAAATAGAAAAGCTTTTAAAAGCAGAAAGTGAAAGTGACCATAAACAAAAAGGGAAAACAACTAGTATATTTTATCTAAAGGATAATTTTATGGGGGCCAGCACAAAAAATAAAAATAAATCACATTTTTAAATCAAGCTCTTGAAAGTTAATCTTGCTAAAATTTGCAAAATTTTTAAAAACACCTTGTTAAAATTGTATATGAAACAAACAAAAAGAAATCAAATATTTCAATACGCAAATTATTGGCCCCAACTCTAACTTATTTTCTGAAGCTTGACCAAAATAAGATGTCACCTGCTTGACTGATGCGACAAACATGTCATGAATAGCAGGAAGTTGCCTCACATGATTGCAATAGGTGAACATTATTATCAAATAGTCATGTTCTGAGTCAAGGCAATTATATTTTGTTTTGTTCTTTTTTTTTTTTTTTTTTTAAGCTTTTACCCTCTCCACCCTCTAACCCAAAATAATGGTGTTATGAAGAGAGAGCAATGAAATCTAACCTATGCAGGACCTCCTGAGCAAACTTCCTGGGTCTGTCTGCAAGTCCAAATGCCAAGAACATTAAAGACTAACAGACAAGTTGGAGTCACGACTGAATGAGGTTAAGCATGTTTTAACAAAATATTAAGAACTAATATTTTGGCCAGCAGAAAGCAAAGAACCCTCTGTCACCACGCTTAAAACCATTCACTGGACAACGGCACCATCTGAAGGTGATACATCTCAGTTCTTGACAGGAAACATCACCAATAGCCTCAGAAAGAAGGAAAATGAAATTATTTAGAAAGAAAATCTGTTTCCCCCTCTACTCCCCCAGTATTATATGTAGCCTTGATTCCACAAACCCTGTACCGCTCCTCGCAGGCACTTCAGCCTGTGCTCCAAGCTTCCCGTGGAGCTAAACACGGCCACGGAGGCAGGTGTGGGCCTCCTGGTCAGAAGGACTGGGTCAAAGGCCCCACTTTAACAAAACACAGAGGACACGGTTAAACCCATAACTAAGCACATGCCTAATTGCTGCTGGCACAAATGAACTAATGCTAGAGAAGTTACCTTTAATTTGAAAGTTTGCTGTTACAAGGCAAATAATGTTCTACGTGGATGCGTAAATATATTTATGCTCTAAAGTGGTAGTTCTCATTTCTGAGGCCACTAATTACAGGAAATAAAGCCAGAGAAATTCCCTGATACATTTTCCCCGGAGGCCTATCCGGCTGGGGCGCATACAGAGGAACACTAATGCTAAAGTTCAAGAGACCCATCTCCAAATCCCCAAGGTGCCTGAAGGAGCTGCCTCTCTTTTAGTCAGTAAAACTCGGGTTTTTCTGGCAGTTCTCTGTCAGCGAGCACCCCTGACAGCCTCTGCCACGCCAGGTTGGCCCTGGTTCGCCCGAAGTCTCCGTCGGGTGCCAGGCCTCGCCTCACAACGTACCACGGCCACGTCGGCGCGTGAGCCCAACAGGGCTGCTGCCCCGCTCACCACACGTGTCCCACCGGGAGGGACGCCAGGCACCAGGGAGCCTCTGGGTCTGGGGACCCTGATTCTCCCCCTCTCTTCCTCAGAGCATGCCCAGCTCCCCAGCTAGCGGCTGGGGGAGACGTACGATGCTCTCGGCTGCTCCTCCTGTGAAAACTGCACCCCTCTGAATACAGAAAATCCGCGATCCCTTAGCCTGGAGGGGGCCTTACTCTCCAGCACAGAGGCTGGAGAGCTGGTTGCTGTCTCAAACCTGGTTTTAAGATGTTTTGATGGGACAAAATCTGCAGTTTTAACACTTCAGGGAAAAAAGTGCTGTATTCCCTGTCCCCTGTTTGAGGACACCTCAGTTAAGCTTCCTCCCTAAGAAGAGAAGCTGAGAGACGGTGGGATGCTTGCTAGTTGGGATTTAATTAGAAGCAGGAGCCCGAGAGGAAGGGGAAGTAGAGAGCTGAAGGTCTGTGCCAACCAAACAGTGCTGACACTCGCTTCAAAATAATTTGGTTCCAGCAGTAACACTAGCAGAAGACTCCCCTTTTGCTGTGCTGCTGCAAGTCCTTCAGTGAAGGGGATGTTTTTGCGAGATCTCTGGAATATTTTCAGTACTCTTCTAGAAAGGACCCTGAAACTCTAAACAACTCCAATCCTTATATCACATGAAGGCTTTCTGGCCTGATTGTATGCCATAGACCTGAACGAGTTTGTTACAAAGATGAGACCAAAAAAAAAAAAATGAGAGCTCTTGCTAGCAGTGGAAGACAATTAAAAAGCCAGAGAACTTTTGCCCATTTTTCTATGCTGTTATTTTCTTGGTCTGCATGTTGATATAAAATATTTAATTGTCTTACATGGAATCATTTTTTAAAAGTAGAAGGGATGCTTCAATTTTTGTGTCTGGGAAGACTGTTTTTTCTACTGTCAAGGCTGAAATACATAGCTCTTACAAGACCCAGTCTGCTTTAATCCACTTATTGAACCTCCTTTCCCTAAAAAGGAACATGCTGCACATGTTCAGACACAACCGGTTTTCACCTGAATTTGTTGACACTATGTGAATACATGCCTCCCTGCTGCTGCAAGGTAACTAAAGATACCAGCAGATGCAGAAAGCTGGGATTGTGTTTGTGTATCCACCCAGCTAGTATCCAAATGGGTCTGATTAATGCTTTGGGAACCTCTGGTTCACAGGAACATTTAATGCTTGTCCCATGAGTAGGCCCCACTGAAGAGCTTTCATATCGGGAAATGAAATTGCTCAGAGAGTGGTGAAATTACATGCGAGAAAGATGACAAAAATCGATGATATCTTTAGTGAACAGAGAATATAGCAGCATAGGACATATCTCTCCCTCTCTCTCTTTTCTGCCTACATGAAAAGAAAGCCCGTTTTCTTCTATCACTTGTTACATTCAGTAAGGAAAGGAAAAGACAAAAACTGCAGAAAAGAAGATGTCCACGGAGGACCAATGTATTTTTGATTAAATTTCATGATGTGGGATCACATTTTAGTTCTGATAATCCCGAAAATAATAACGGCATTTTATAATCCATTATTTGTTGCCATATAACAACAAATGGCCCTTTGAATCAACAAACAAACAAACAACTTGCAGTTTTCTGTTTCAGATTCCAGTGCAGGCACTGGTAGAAGATGAGAGAATGCTCTGCTCTATCTCAGACCAGCTAACAGGAGGGGAGGTAGTCCAGGAGTTGGACAGAAGTCCACGGGAATAACTCTGTTCAAGGGTTCTGAGTGACGTGCTGCACAGAGATAAAAGCTTCGAGTAAAGCACTGAGGCTGGAAATGGTCAGAAACCACAGCAGAACCCAGAGATAAAGTCCTGGAAATACCTCTTCCCCGTGTTACCATTGCTTTTATTTTTTGAACACAAAATGAAAGCTGAAACATACAGTCAAGAAAAGGGGAGAAAATACATGGAGCTTAAAAAATAAGTAACCAGGTTAAAAGAGGTTAGAAGACTACAAGAGGTTTGCTCCCATAAGAGAAGGAACCTTAAAGGCAAAACTTGAAGAACATTATATGGACAACATATATTTTGCTAGACACCGAGACAGAGTCACAGCAAATGGCCACTTCCGTGTGCAGTAAGGGCAGCCCTTTGGGAGCATGATTGGACAGCCTTTGGTATACGCTGTCAAAGCAGATTTTTGTTCAACGCTCTACAAGATCTGGACTTTGAAAGACTGAGGGTGAATCAACATCTGTGACTCTGAATGTATGAGGATATATTTGGGTTGTTTGTCTAGAACTTCATCAGATAATGATCAGATTATAAACCAATAACTGTTTAGATTTTAAATAATCTGTTTAGGCTCGGGGAACTCATTCTGTTGCCTTTTTTTTTTTAATTTCCTCTTTCCACTCCAAGCTACCTGCTGTGACACAACAGACGACGCAGCTATGTAATTATACAACTTATTATTAGATCATATAGGCAGAAGAGACATTACTAGCATTCCTTGTTCATACTGTAATCCACTTACTGAGGTTCATCATTGTCAGCTCTCTGGAAGAGGGGTAGTGGAGCCTCTCTGCAAAGTCCCGGCAGTACCACACGAGCAGCTCCTGGTTGGCAGGGATGGGCTTGATGGTGTAGAAGTAGATATTCATTCCATTTTGACAAGCAGCCAAGTTCTGCTCCTGGACAGAGTAGCCCGGGTTTACATAACGCATCCAGTTGCTCTTGTCCTCGTTAAATCCGTCAATGAAGTGGTGAAGCTCACCATTTGAATAGATCTAGGATAGAGAGGAGGTACATATGAATACATTCATACATATGAATGTATATACATAATACACAACACATGCTCACAGCGTTCAGAGTAGGGATGATGAGCTTAAAAAAAAAAAAACAGGCGGCAACAACAACAAGAGGATTAAGTATTACTGAAATTGTAATTCAAGCTGGATTCCTCTTTCCAACTATGATTTCCTTCACGTTAAGAAAAGAAATGCTCATTCAAAGGTAGGTACACAGTTACCTCTTCCATTTCTCCTGAGCCCGTGTGGCTTGGCTAGTACATACACCCGACACACACACAAAATCTGAAATGAAGAGTCCTCTCCCTGCATAAACAGTCTACCTTACAAGTCCTTTTCCTGGTGCTGTGACCAGCGAGTGGGTGATGCTAATGACTGCAGGTCTGAGTGCATGCTTGCATTAATGCTTTGAGTCACCTGTGTATAAGACTGAGTGGCTGTGCTACGTCAGAGCCTTTCTCGCCTTTTTCTATGGCCTCTGTACTTGCAGTTTCCTACCACCCCCGCCCAAAGGTTTAAACTATGCAAACATCCTCCACCCCCCCGAGCGTCCTAAAGGAGCACTTGCTCATAGTTGGACTGTCGCCCTTCTGCAGAAAAGGCTGGGTGAGGCGGGGATGAACTTCACCTGCCATAACTCAGCGACGAGCTGGAGAGGGGCCAGTTGATGAGAAGTCACTTTTCCTATCACGGGACATGCTCTAGCTTGCCCACGGAGGGGAAAGGAAAGGCAAATTCAAAAAAGGGCTCAGCAAGTTGGGAGAGAAAGGAGCTCCGATTGCTGACAGAAGCTACTGTTGCTTAAAGTGGTAAGAATAAGAGTAGTTAAGAATAAATAAGTAAATAAATAAATAATCAGCAAATAGAGCTATATCCACGCAGAAGGAGACAGCGTGTTTCGGTTTCACACACTAAATGACCAGGCAGAAGGCAGACCTTCAAGTGGGAGCAATGTGCACCAGCGCTGGGTGCCCGTCTGTGGCGCAGACAGGGCTCATCTGCAGGAGAGGAGCGCTGCGCTGCCGCCCGCTGCTCCCGCGGGC